CCCTGTCCCCATCCCTGTCCCCACCCTGTCCCCACCCTGTCCCCATCCCGTCCCCACCCCGGGACAGGCGGTGTGACCGCTCAGGTTCCCGGGGATCCGGGGCGGTTCCGACCCCGCTCCGTGTCCCGCAGGGAAGATCCACACGCCCATGGAGTACAAGGGAGACCTGGCGTCCTACGACATGAGGCTCAGGTGAGGGGCTGCCAAAGGCCTTAATTAATCACTAATTAATGACTTACGGGGGAGGGCTGTCCCTGCGGGTCTGCAGGGGGGCTGGGACCTGGAGTGGGGGGAAAAGCTAATAATTAAGTATTAGTAATTATTAATATCATTAATTAACGATAATTAACATTTATCAACATTATATAGATGTATTAATATATTTATATATTTTATTAATTTTCGATTATTAATATAATAGTAATCAACATATTATTATAGTTATATTAATATATTATTAATAATATATTAATGGCAATATATTGTATTTAATTGCATATAATATATATAATTAATACAATATATTAATAATACATTATTAATATAATATGGTATATTATTAGATATTATTAGATATTATTATATATAATTAATATAATGTTATAATAAAAATTTATATTTGTATTTATTATACATTTAGTAATTAATAATATTAATTGTAGTAATTACATGTTAATTGTATATTATTAATATACTAATATATATTATGGATTATTTTATATTTATATATTTATAGTATATAATAATGTATATTATATTGTATAATTATAATATATAATTACATATTAATTTTATATTGTATATTAATATACTAATAATGCATATTAATATACTATTATATTATCTTAATATACTGTCATATTATTATATTAGTTATTGATATTATGTATTAATCATTAATATGAATTTATAAAAGTATTAATTAATATTTAATTATTTTAGATTTGGTTGTAAATTGATTTAATTGATGAATTGGGAAGCAAAACTCCTCAGGGACCATCCATGGCTGGGAGCTGATCCTGGTTCCCTGGAAATTCCCACAGAATTTCAGTGGGGAAAAAACCCATTAATTAATAATTAATGAGTTATTATTAATTAATAATTAATGAGTTGTTATTATTAATTAATAATTAATGAGTTATTGCTAGGCAAAACTCTGTAGCTGGGAGCTGCCCCTGTTGTCTGATGCTGGTTCCCTGGAAATCCTGGAGTTTTCCAGAGCTGGAAAAACCCCATTAATTAATAATTAATGAGTTAATGAGAAGCTCACCTCCTGAGGGACAATGCCAGGAGCCATTCCTGCAGAGGGAAAACCCCATTAATTAACAATTAATGAGTTAATGAGAAGCTCAGCTCCTGCAGGACAATGCCAGGAGCTGTCCCTGCAGAGGGAAAACCCCATTAATTAATAATTAATGAGTTAATGAGAAGCAAATCTCTTGAGGGACGATGCCAGCAGGAGCTGTCCCTGCAGAGGGGTGTCCCCAGCCGTGTCCCTTGGGACTTGGAGGGAGCAGTGGTGGAAAATCCCCATTAATTAATAATTAATGACTTAATGAGAAGCTCAGCTCCTGTGGGACCATGCCAGGAGCTGTCCCTGCAGCAGGGTGTCCCCAGCCGTGTCCCCAGCAGGTGACACAGTGTCCCCAGCCGTGTCCCCAGGAGGTGACACAGTGTCCCCAGCCTTGTCCCCAGGAGGTGACACAGTGTCCCCAGCCGTGTCCCCAGGAGGTGACACACTGTCCCCAGCCTGTCCCCAGCCTGTCCCCAGCAGGTGACACGCTGTCCCCGTGCCCCAGGAGGTGACACAGTGTCCCCAGCCTGTCCCCAGCCCTGTCCCCAGCAGGGTACACAGTGTCCCCAGCCTGTCCCCAGCAGGTGACACAGTGTCCCCAGCCTGTCCCCAGCAGGTGACACGCTGTCCCCAGCCTGTCCCCAGCAGGAGACACGCTGTCCCCGTGCCCCAGCAGGTGACACGCTGTCCCCGTGCCCCAGGAGGTGACACAGTGTCCCCAGCCCTGTCCCCAGGAGGTGACACAGTGTCCCCAGCCTCTCCCCAGCAGGTGACACGCTGTCCCTGTGCCCCAGCAGGTGACACAGTGTCCCCAGCCTGTCCCCAGCAGGTGACACAGTGTCCCCAGCCCTGTCCCAAGGAGGTGACACAGTGTCCCCGTGCCCCAGCAGGTGACACGCTGTCCCCGTGCCCCAGCAGGTGACACAGTGTCCCCAGCCTGTCCCCAGCAGGTGACACGCTGTCCCCGTGCCCCAGGAGGAAGCTGGACCTGTTTGCCAACGTGGTGCACGTCAAGAGCCTGCCGGGGTACCAGACCCGGCACAACAACCTGGACCTGGTGATCATCCGCGAGCAGACCGAGGGCGAGTACAGCTCCCTGGAGCACGAGGTACCGGGAGTTCCACCGGGAGTTCCACCGGGAATTCCACCGGGAGTTCCACCGGGAATTCCACCGGGAATTCCACCGGGAGTTCCACCGGGAGTTCCACCGGGAATTCCACCGGGAGTTCCACCGGGAGTTCCACCGGGAATTCCACCGGGAATTCCACCGGGAGTTCCACCGGGAATTCCACCGGGAGTTCCACCGGGAGTTCCACCGGGAATTCCACTGGGAGTTCCACCGGGAATTCCACCGGGAATTCCACCGGGATGAGGGAATCCCCAGCTTCCCCCACGGAGGGACTGGGATTTTGGGATGGAATTCCTCCCACGTTGGCGGCTGGAAGTGTCCAAGCTCACGTGGGATAACAGGAGCTGTCCCTGAACGTGGAATTGCTGGGATTTAAGGTCCCTTCCAAAGCAAAAAAATCTGGGATTTGGGAGCCCCTCTGCTCTGGGAGAGCTGGGAATGTTCCCCTGGAGAAGGGAAAAATTTCCCTGACGATTTCCCTGATGATTTCCCTCATTTCCCCGATTTCCCTGATGATTTCCCTGATTTCCCTGATGATTTCCCTGATTTCCCTGACGATTTCCCTGATGATTTCCCTGACGATTTCCCTGCTGGTTTCCCTGATGATTTCCCTGATGATTTCCCTGATGATTTCCCTGATGATTTCCCTGATGATTTCCCTGATTTCCCTGATGATTTCCCTGACGATGACCCTGACGATTTCCCTGATGATTTCCCTGACGATTTCCCTGACGATTTCCCTGATTTCCCTGATGATTTCCCTGATTTCCCTGACAAATTCCCTGATGATTTCCGTGCTGATTTCCCTGATTTCCCTGCTCAGCACACCCAGGACCAGCCTGGAGCGATGGAATTCGGGGAGGATTTTGGGATGAGAGCCCCCCCAGCCCCTGCAGGGGAGGGACAAAGCCTGGAGAAAGGGACAGTGGCACATGGAAATTGTCCTGGCTTATCCCTGGACATGGAAAAAGTGGGGACGAGAACTGGGAAATTCCAATTAGAACAATTCAATCATTGAAACAAAAGCACAAAATGGCCTCAAATACCCAGTTCTTTTATCATTACACTTACCTAATTAACAACAGACACATAAATTATTTTTCTTAATGACTTAATGACCCATTTTTACATTTATCTAATTAACAATAGGCATGGAAATTATTTTCCTTAATGACCCATTTTTATACTTACAAATTAACAACAGACACATAAATTATTTTTCTTAATGACTTAATGACACATCTTTATACTTACAAATTAACAACAGACACATAAATTATTTTTCTTAATGACTTAATGACACATCTTTATACTTACAAATTAACAACAGACACATAAATTATTTTTCTTAATGACTTAATGACACATCTTTATACTTACAAATTAACAACAGACACATAAATTATTTTTCTTAATGACTTAATGACACATCTTTATACTTACAAATTAACAACAGACACATAAATTATTTTTCTTAATGACTTAATGACACATCTTTATATTTATCTAATTAACAATAGGCACATGAATTATTTTTTTTAATGACTTAATGACACATCTTTATACTTACAAATTAATAATAGACATGTAAATTATTTTTCTTAATGACTTAATGACACATCTTTATACTTACAAATTAATAATAGACATATAAATTATTTTTTTAATGACCCATCTTAATGTTTACTCTTACCTAATTAACAATAGACACATAAATTATTTTTCTTAATGACCCATCTTTATATTTATCCAATTAACAACAGACACATAAATTATTTTTCTTAATGACTTAATGACACTTCTTTATACTTAAAAATTAACAATAGACATGTAAATTATTTTTCTTAATGACACATCTTTATATTTATC